ACCATGAATGAAAAAGACACATGCACTTCAATGTTCATAGCCACACTGTTTATAGTAGCCAGAACATGAAAGCAACCTAGATGTCCATCAACTGATAAATGGGTAAAGATGTGGTACATACATACAATGGAATATTACTCACCAATAAAAAAGAAAAAATTTGAGTCAGTTCTAGTGAGCTGGATGAACCTAGAGCCTGTTATACATAGTGAAGTCAGAAAGAGAAAAAGAATATAGTGTACTAACGCATATGTATGAAATCTAGAGACATTATATTGATGAATCTATTTGCAGGGAAGGCAAGGAGATGTAGAGGGAGAGCATGAACTTGTACACACAGTTGGGGAGGGAGACAGTGGGATGCATAGAGAAAGAAGCATCAACATATATACACTACCAGGTGTAAGATGGATAGCTGGTGGGAAGTTGCCATGTACCACAGGGAGCCAAGTCTGGTACTCTGTGATGACCTGGAGAGACGGGAGGGGAAGGGGAGAGAAACTAGGGAGGGAAGGGATGTATGTGCAATGATGGCTGATTTGCATTGTATGGCAAAAACTAACACAGCAATCATTAAAAAATTTAATGTAAACAAAATGAATGCAAAAAATGTTCACACACACCAAAAAAGTAAAGTAATTAAATAAACAAACTGAAACAAAAAAAAGTATTTCTTCAAGTATAATGATAAATTGTTCTTGTGACTGATTCTTTAATAAAAAGGGCAAGAAAAATATAAGGAAATGTTAAAATGTTACAATGCTATAATTTGGTTGGCGATTTTTCTCCAACTTCTTGATCTTCAGTTTTTGACACCCCACTCACTACTTGTGAAACTTAGATCATAACTGCTAGTTGGAAGTCAAGAGTATCTAGAAGTTATTGATGTATCTTCAGACTGTTTTGACAAACCTCAGCAGTAAGACTGGAGATAAAAAAAATGCACAATTCACTTATTTATTCCACTACATTTAAATTCTGACATACTTATGTCTCAAATGTAACCCAGACTAAAAAGGTATCTCACTTGAAGCCTTTTTATGTAGAAATGGAATGTGTTAAGTAAAATGTTTTGAAAGTCCTTGTTTTGAGACTGAAGAACATAAATGAGCAGTTACTATAAGCAGTAACCCAATCTTCTGGCAGTTATAAAGGAGCTGAACTTTTACAATAAAGGTTTAGGAGAAAATTGTCTGGAATCGGTTGCCAAGATAATCCTTTGGAATCAACTTGTATGGTGACCCAATTTAACAAACATGGGCTTCAACCATGCAATAGTTAAACAAAGAACACATGTTCCTGAAGATAATTATACTCTGCCCTCTGACTTTCAGAGTAAAGTGTATTTGATTACATAAACTAAAGTAGATTTCCTTCCTTTTCAAGAAGCTGACAATCTTAAGACTTGAGGTGTTATTGTGACTTTCCCAGGCCACTTTTCCAGTCTGTCGGTCTACCCACCCTCCTCAGCAAGGAAATCCCCAAATTTTAACAAGCAACTTCTTTTCTCAAATTGCTGGATACTTTCCAAGACTACTGACCAGTTAGGAGATGGTGAATTAGTATCTCCTCTTTTTCCTGTATTGAACTTTTATTAGATTTCATATACCAGTATAAATTACCCCACAGCATAGCTGTGAATTCTTTTCATCAGAAAGAAGAATTTAGATGACAGAAACAAAGAGAGGCAGTATTAGATGCAACAGGATATACTTTCTCTACTGCTATAATTTTCCCAAACTAAAATCTTCTAAAGTTGAAAGGATTTAAATTTTCTTTAAATAGTCACACACAATATTTTTTAAAAACGACTTCAGGAATAGGTTCAGATGCTTTCGTGTTGATCTTTGCAAGCAATATTTGCAAGTGTGTTCCATCACTAGCAAATTATTTTAGAAAATAAGAACAGGGGAACATCTCCAACTCTTTACATAAAGTTAGCATAGTCTTGATAACAAAGCCAGCTAAACATACTACAAAAGAGAAAAAATACAACTTCATTCATGAACATATACAAATTCCTAAACAAGATATTCACAACCAAATCCAAATAATTATGAGAAAATAACAAGACATCATCACCATGGTTGGTTAATATTATCAACAGAAAATTAACTGATGAAATTCTCCACATTAATAGATTAAGGAGAAAGTTTGGTCATTTCAATTAACTCAATGTGAGAAGTAAAGTCATCACCATTTATAGATGATATTAGTGTCCACATAATATATACTGAAAAATCTGTAAGTAAATTATTGGTATTTATAAGCAAGTTTAACAAGTTGGCTGGCTTTAAAAATAAATCAATGCACATCTGTCTTTACTGGCAACAATAAATTAGAAAATTTAATTTTAAAAAGATATCATTAAAAAGAGGAACAAAAAATGGAGAATGCCTAGGAATACATCTTGAAAGACATTTTAAAAGACCTAAATAAACAGAGAGCTATTGCATGTATTCATACAGAATATATCCAATGGTAAAAAGATGTCAATGATCCCCAAATAGATCTAGAAGATTTTACGTGGAACCTAGCAAGCTAATTTAAAATTTTATATGGTGATTCAAAATAGAAATATGTCTAGGATGCTCTAAAGAGAAGCCACAAGGTATGGAAATACACCCTACCATAAAGGAGTAGAAAGGCAAGCCACAAATGGGAGAAGATATTTACAATGCATAGAACAAAGGATTAGTGTTCAGTATATATATGTGAAACTTCTATGAATTTAAAAGAAAAAACAAGCAACCAAACAGGAAAAGTGTGCAGAATACATAACATCTCATGAAAGACAAAACATTAATGGCTAATTGTAATAAGTAATCAAGAAAAAGAAAATGGATATGACTCCAATACACACACAACATATTGGCCAATTTAATAATTAAAACCATGTGCTGGGGAAAATGTTTAGGAATGGGAACTCTCTCATCCCTTATTTGTGGGAGTTTAAACAGGTACCTGCTTCACGGATCACTGCCTTGTCATGGCAAAGGGGCTTGTGTAACTCAAGGAAGCTATCAAAACAGAATCCTAAGGGAAATCAACCCTGAATACTTGTTGGAAGGATTGATGCTGAAGCTGAAACTCCAGGATTGTGGTCATCTGATGCAAACAGCTGACTCACTGGAAGAGTCCCTGATTCTGGGAAAGATGGAGGACAGAAGGATAAGAGGGTGTCAGAGGATGAGATGGCCACAAGGCATTACTGATGCAATGGACATGAACTTGGGCAAACTCTGGGAGATGGTGAGGGACAGAGAGGCCTGGCTACAGTCCATGGTGTCATAAAGAGTCGGACATGACTGGCTGACTGAACAACAATGATAAACAGGTACGATCAGAAATACATGTTGGCATTCCTTAGTAGAGTTAAACATGCAAAGACCCTATGATTAACCATTTTACTCCCGAGTTTGACATACTTTAGAGAAATTCTTGTACATATATGTACCAGGAGACATGTCCATAGTTGCATCTTTTTTCAGTATCAAAAGAACTGTAGACACTGGGAATTCCCTGGTGGCCCAGTGGTTAGAACTCCACACTTTCATTGCCCAGGGCCTGGGTTCAATCCCTGGTCAGGGAACTAGGATCCTGCAAGCCAGGCGGCATGGTCAAAAGACAAACAAACAGATAAAAAACTGTGAACGCCTGAAATGCCCCTTAACAATAGAATGAATAAAACCGTAGTTTTATTCTCTACAACAGACTACTTACAGTAGTACACACAACAGGAAGAAAATGGACTACAGCTTTACATATCAACCTGATTAAAGAGCAAAAACATAAATCAGAGTGAAAGAAGCAGCTCACAGTACACAAGCAGTATGAGTCAGCTTACATGAAGTTCATAAAGAGACAAAACTAAATGATACATTGTTTAACCATGTCCATCACAGATGGTAAAATTGGGGTAAAAAAAGAAGGAAATGCTTTATTTAAACACTGAGTTAAATACTTTTCTGACTCAGTTGAATCTTTAATTTTTAGAGATCAGTTCTTCATTTCCACAGCAGACAGGACTTTAGTTATGAATTGTACACTAAGACCATAGAACTCGGATCCATATTATTATTTACAAAATACAAGAATATTTATCTCAAAAGAAACTTAAGAAGAATGGCCAATAGCCTCTAACTTCATGTAGTAGAGATACTTTATAAATTTATAATGAGGACATAATTGTTAGGAGTGTCCCTGGTGGTTCAGTGGTAAAAGTATGCTCGCCAATGCAGGAGACGAGGGTTCAGTCCCTGTGTGAGGAAGATCCCCTGCAGAAGGAAATGGCAGATTGCCTTTCCAGTATTCTTGACTGGGGAGTTCCATGGATAGAGAAGCCTAGTGGGCTATAGTCCATGGGGTCGCAAAAGAGTCAAATATGACTTAGCAAATAAACAATATTTGTCAAACACAAAAAGAAAACAAATAGAAAGAAGATTGCTGTGATAAACCTGTTGAAATCTAGTTATACCTTAAGTTGTTCATACAGTTCAATGTTTATCAAGACAAAAGAAATTAATGGTGGTGGATTGGTCGCTAGTGAAGTGAAGTCACTCAGTTGTGTCTGACTCTTCGCAACCCCATGGACTGTAGCCTACCAGGTTCCTCCCTCCATGGGATTCTCCAGGCAAGAGTACTGGAGTGGGTTGCCACTGCTTCTCCAGGGGATCATCCTGACCCAGGGATCAAACCCAGGTCTTCTACAAGTGTAGAAGCGTCTGCAGGCAGAAGCTTTACCATCTAAGCCACCAAGGAAGCCCTAACTCTTACGGCCTGACCCAGGAACTGAGCCCGGGTCTCCTGCACCGCAGGTAGGTTCTTTACCCACTGAGCTCCAAGGGAAGATATTAGTAGATGTTTAAATTTGAGGCCTTGCTAAGTAAATATTGGATAATTATAGAACCATTAAGATCTTAACTGAGCATTTACGGAGAATTTCCCTAAATAAAACTTAAATCTACATAAATCCTTCTTGTGACTCAGAGTGAAAAACTATGCTAATCATCTTTCAGAGGAAAGGTCATGGAATCGGTAAAATGCAAATGTGAATTCTGGCTCTCTCATCTGTTTACTCTGTGACTTCAGAAGGATTACTGAACTCCTAAAAATAAGCTCCCTAATAAATAAAATTAAGATAAGAGGACTGTTAGAAAACTTAAATAAAATATATGCAAAGTGCCTATTAAGTATTCAAAATGTTATCTATTATTAATGCAATTATTAAAATATTAAATCAGTAACAACTATGTTAACCTGGGGCTCTGATAATTTAGAATGTTCACAAGATATTTCTGTTATTGTTTGAGTTATGAAAGTTTTTCTTAAGTAAATTCATTGGCCTAAAGATTCCTTATGTAAAGAAAATAGAGGTCTAAATCAATACATTCATTAGCTGGAAAATTCAACAGTTTCTTTTGCTTCCTAAAAAACTGATATGTGCAGGTGTATCCTGAAGTGGTAGGTGATACATTTTCAGAAACTCCAAGGGACAGAGATCTTTGGGGCATCTCTCAGAAAGACACATTTCAAATCTTATTTAATAGTTAAGAGAAAAAATTATCTCATTTAAATGGAAGCATCCTGATTTCAAACTACAGGACAAAGCTACAAAAATCAAAACAGTATGAATTGGCACAAAAACAGATGCATAGAGCAATGGAACAGAATAGAACCCAGAAGTTAATTCACACTTATATGGTCAATTAATCTCCAGCAAAGGAAGCAAGAATATATTGGATTGGCCAAAAAGTTCATTTGGGTTTTTCTGTTATATCTTATGGAAAAATCTAAACAACTTTTTGGCCAACCCAATACTATGGGGTAAAGGCAACCTCTTCAGTAAATGGTGCCAGGGAAACTGGAGAGCTGCATGCAAATAAATCAAGCAGGACAACAATCTCAGTTCAGTTTAGTCGCTCAGTCATGTCTGACTCTGAAACCCCATAGACTGCCACACGCCAGGCTTCCCTGTCCATCATGAACTCCTGGAGCTTGCTCAAACTCATGTCCAACGGGTCAGTGATGCCACCCAACCATCTCATCCTCTGTTGTCCATACACAACTCAAAATGGATTAAAGACTTAAATGTAAGAGCTGAAATTATAAAACTCCTAGAGGAAAACATAGGCAGTATGCACTTTGACTTTAGTTTTAGCAATATTTTTTTGGATATGTGACTTCAGGAAAAGGAAACAAAAGCAAAAATAAACAAATGGGACTACATCAAACAAATATGCTTTTGCACAGCAAAGGAAACTACCAACAAAATGAAAAGGCAGCCTATCTCAAATGAGAGAAGACACTTCCAAACTATATATATAATGAGTTAATACAAAAAATATGCAAAGAACTCATACAACTTAACATCAAAAAAAGCAAACAACCTGATTTAAAAATAGCCAGATGACCTGAACAGACATTTTTCTTAAGAAGACATACAGATGAAAAAATAAATAAATAAAAAGACATACAGATGGTCAAAAGACACATGAAAAGATGCTCAATATCACTAATTATCAGGGAAGTGCAATTCAAAGCCACAATTAAATGCCACCTCACATATGTTAGAATGGCTATTATCAAAAAACAACAAATACCAAGTTTTTGAAAGAATGTAGAGAAAAGGGAACCCTCATAGACTGTTGGTGGGATTGTGAATTGGTACAGTCACTATGATTAAACAGTATAGACATTCCTCAAAAATTTTTAAAAAGACCTGATATATGATCCATAAATTTCAGTTCCGAGTGTTTACCTGAAGCAAACAAAAACACTAATTTCTACACACACACACACACACACACACACACACACACACACACACACACTGGAGTATTACTCAGCCATGAAAAATAAAATCTTGCCCTTTGTGACAACATGAATTGATCTAGAGGGCATTATTCTAAGTGAAATAAGTGAAACAGAAAAATAAATACTACATGACCTCATTTACATGTAGAATCTGAAAACAAAACAAAATGAAAACACAGTCATAGATACAGAAAGCAAAGGAGTAGTTACCAGAGAGGGGATGGTTAACGGGATTAAGAGGTACACTTCTAAATCACAGGAATGTAATATACAGCATAAGGACTATGGTTGATAATATGTAATAAGTTTGTACGGAGACAGATGGCTACCATTCTTATCTTCACGATCATTCCAGACTATGCAATGTCAAATAATTATGTCAGTTCAGTTCAGTCGCTCAGTCGTGTACATCTCTTCGCGACCCCATGAATCGCAGCATGCCAGGCCTCCCTGTCCATCACCAACTCCCGGAGTTTACTCAAACTCATGTCCATCGAGTCGTGATGCCATCCAGCCATCTCACCCTCTGTCGTCCCCTTCTCCTCCTGCCCCCAATCCATCCCAGCATCAGGGTCTTTTCCAATGAGTCAACTCTTCACATGAGGTGGCCAAAGTACTGGAGTTTCAGCTTCAGCATCAGACCTTCCAATGAACACCCAGAACTAGTCTCCTTTAGGATGGACTGGTTGGATCTCCTTGCAGTCCAAGGGACTCTCAAGTCTTCTCCAACACCACAGTTCAAAAGCATCCATTTTTTGGCGCTCAGCTTTCTTCACAGTCCAACTCTCACATCCATACATCACCACTGGAAAAACCATAGCCTTGACTAGACAGACCTCTGTTGGCAAAGTAATATCTCTGCTTTTTAATATGCTATCTAGGTTGGTCATAACTTTCCTTCCAAGGAGTAAGCATCTTTTAATTTCATGGCTGCAATCACCATCTGCAGTGATTTTGGAGCCCAGAAAAATAAAGTCAGCAACTGTTTCCACTGTTTCCCCATCTATTTCCCATGAAGTGATGGGACCAGATGCCATGATCTTCGTTTTCTGAATGTTGAGCTTTAAGCCAACTTTTTCACTTTCCTCTTTCACTTTCATCAAGAGGCTTTTTAGTTCCTCTTCACTTTCTGTCATGAGGGTGGTGTCATCTGCTTATCTGAGGTTATTGATATTTCTCCCAGCAATCTTGATTCCAGCTTGTGCTTCTTCCAGCCCAGTGTTTCTCATGATGTACTCTGCATATAAGTTAAATAAGCAGGGTGACAATATACAGCCTTGATGTTCTCCTTTTCCTATTCAAAACCAATCTGTTGTTCCATGTCCAGTTCTAACTGTTGCTTCCTGACCTGCATATAGGTTTCTCAAGAGGCAGGTCAGGTGGTCTGGTATGCCCATCTCTTTCAGAATTTTCAACAGTTTATTGTGATCTACACAGTCAAAGGCTTTGGCATAGTCAATAAAACAGAAATAGATGTTTTTCTGGAACTCTCTTGCTTTTTTGATGATCCAGCAGATGTTGGCAGCTTGATCTCTGGTTCCTCTGCCTTTCCTAAAACCAGCTTGAACACCTGGAAGTTCACGGTTCACGTATTGCTGAAGCCTGGCTTGGAGAATTTTGAGCATTACTTTACTAGCGTGTGAGATGAGTGCAATTGTGCAGTAGTTTGAGCATTCTTTAGGATTGCCTTTCTTTGGGACTGGAATGAAAACAGACCTTTTCCAGTCCTGTGGCCACTGCTGAGTTTTCCAAATTTGCTGGCATATTGAATGCAGCACTTTCACAGCATCATCTTTTACTATTTGAAATATCTCAACTGGAATTCCATCATCTCCACTAGCTTTGTTCATAGTGATGCTTTCTAAGGCCCACTTGACTTCACATTCCAGGATGTCTGGCTCTAGGTGAGTGATCACACCATCGTGATTATCTGGGTTGTAAAGATCTTTTTTGTATAGTTCTTCTGTGTATTCTTGCCACCTCTTCTTAATATCTTCTGCTTCTGTTAGGTCCATACCATTTCTGTCCTTTATTGAACTCATCTTTGCATGAAATGTTCCCTTGGTATCTCTAATTTTCTTGAAGAGATCTCTAGTCTTTCCCATTCTATTGTTTTCCTCTATTTCTTTGCACTGATAGCTGAGGAAGGCTTTCTTATCTCTCCTTGTTATTCTTTGGAACTCTGCATTCAAATGGGAATATCTTTCCCTTTCTCCTTTGCTTTTCGCTTCTCTTCTTTTCACAGCTATTTGTAAGGCCTCCTCAGACAACCATTTTGCCTCTTTGCATTTCTTTTCCTAAAACTAAAATAACATTGTAATCATCTATTTCAATAAATAATGTTTTTAAATTCCAAAACATTCCAAAAACAAAAATTTGAATTTTTCATATGATGGCAACCATTTACATTATATTTACAAGTATTTACAAGCAATTACATTGCATTATGTATTATAAGAGCTTCCCTGGTAGCTCAGTGGCAAAGAATTCTCCTGCAATGCAGGAGCTGCAGGAGATGCTGGTTCAATCCCTGGGTCAGGAAGATCCTCTAAAGGAGGGCATGGCAACCTACTCCAGTATTCTTGAGAGCTTGTTTGGAGGTTCTAGCAGGGTAGCGCAGCTACTCATATACCCTTGACCGAAGACCGGTCCTCCTCTATCAGGGATGGTCGTCCTCTTCGACCGAGCGCGCAGCTTTGGGAGGGACGCACATGGAGCGGTGAGGGAGGAAGGGGACACCCGCCTAGCCAGCCAGATCAGCCGAATCAACCCTGGCGATCAATGGGGTGACAGATGTCGCAACCAGATCACCCTCACATCCATACTCCAGTATTCTTGCCTGAAGAATCCCACAGGCAGCAAAGTCTGGAGGGCTACAGTTCATAGGGTCCCAAAGAGTGGGATATGACTGAAGCAAATGGGTATGCAAGCATGTATTAAAAGTAATCTAAAGAAGATTTGTCCAAACTTAACAGACATGAATTTGAGCAAATTCTGAGAGACAGTGGAGGGCAGAGAAGCCTGGTGGGCTACAATCCATGGGGTCACAAAGAGTCGGACACAACTTAGGGACTGAACAACAAAAAAGAGATGATTTAAAGTATACAAGAGGTTGTGTGTAGGTTATAAAATACACCATTTTAGATAAGGGACTTGAGCACCATGTATTTTTGTATCCATGGGTATCCTGGAAGCAATCCCCCAAAGGCTCCGAAGGACAA